TAAAAATACATATTTTATGAAGAGATGTCTTCATTGTAGTAAAAGAGATGAACATTTCTTGATGGAGCACCTACTATGAGCAAGTCTCCTGGGAAGTCCTGTGGCCAGGAAGGAGGGGCAGTGAATAGCAAGACGAAGGGAACATGATCTGTCCGTCTGACATGAAGTCTGGAAAGGAGATGGGCTCTTGTGTACGTGACATGCAAACCCGAAGATGTCACTTAAAGCATATCATTGTATGTACAGAACGAAAGATCACTTTTGTAAAGAAGACATTTTTAATTTTCTGATCAAACACTATTACTGTAGAACATTTGGAAAGGACAAAGGAAAAAAATAACATAAAAATACTCACAATCTCATCACACAGAGATGATCACTGCGGACTCTTGTTTGCTTCCATATATTGGGGTGTGTGTGTGTGTGTGTGTGTGTGTAACCCTGGAGGTGTGTCGTGGTTACATGTTGGGCTGCTAAGCACACGGTCAGCAGTTTGAAACCAGCTACTCCATGGGAGAAGATGGAGCTTCGACTCCATCTTTACAGTGTCGGACACTCACCTGGGCGGTCCTACTCTGTCCTATGAGGGTCACTGTGGGTCAGCATTGACTCAATGGCAGTAAGTTTGGTTTAGGGATTTTTCCTTCTTCTTCTTTCCAGTGCCATGTTGCCCCATTCACAATACAAACCCGGCACAGGGCTTGGGTTGCGGTGTACACAGGGCACTTTGCCTCCTGCTTCTGCATAGTAAGTGCAAAAGCACAGCTGTGGTAAGCTCAAGGAGGCTCTGGTTGAGGGCTTTTGGTGTGTGTGTTCAAAAAGTTGTTTTATGAAGATAAATCTGCACACTGAAGTTAAAAACATCAGTTGACCTGTATTCGTGCATTTGGAATCGTGAGGAAATCCAAGAGAGAATGCCAAAATAAACTGTTTTTCTTTGCTGGTATCTGGAACACCAATGTTCATGACTCATCATTAAGAGAGAGAGGGGAGTGGTTAAGCCAACTTTTAAACACCTAATAAATAAACGAAAACATGTTGCGACAACAACAATTATCATAAAAACTGATTGAAATCCCCTAACACTTCTCAACATGTGGTGTGTGCAAGGACTGCCAGGTAAGTTCCAAGTTACTTGGTTGAAAGAGGCAGGGGTACTAGAACTTTCCTGGCAGTCATCGCCGTCTGAAGGCAATTGGGCTTCCAGGACCTCTCAACTGCAGTAGGTGTGGAAGCAAAGGCCGCAAGATCTCTCATCTGAAATGACCCAGAGGGGATCCAAGTATTGGATGGAAAACACAGATGTCCTCGGGTTTGATCTCACCCAAGGTGGACAGATATATACCAACCACACCTACGGCCACACACAGAGGCAATGGGATCTCAGAGCAGATTTCCTTGAACTGCTTGGGATTACACATCCTACGTTTAAAGCCTGCGTGTTCGTTACCGTTGGCACAGTCAGGAGCTAATGCATCGGTAATGGTGTTCCTGGGATAGCCAAGATTCAAACAGAGCAGAGAAGGGGAAGAGAAGGTAGCAAGTAAGGCGGAGTTCTTGTCTGGCAGATGTCCAAAATGTTATTGGAAGGTGACAAGCGTCTAGTCGGGAGGCTTAGAAACAGTCCCAATACTCTATAAAGAACTAGTCTGAGGACCAATAATTCTTTATTCCTGTCTGGTAATCATCCTTCTCCTCCCCACCCCTTCTTTCAGGTCTGGCTGCAATGGAAATGTCCACATCCCGCTATACAATTAAGCGACCCTGGTGGCCCCTGGTGGCCCCTGGCAGTGAGTGTCTTGGTTTGGTGGCGTAGTTGCTATGCACTAGGCTGCTAACCAGCAACGTCAGTGTTCAAAACCACCAGCTGCCCAGCGGGAGAAAGACCAGGCAGAGAAAGAGGAGGTTGTCGATGCCTGTAAAGAGTTACACTCTTAGAGGGACAGTTAGTGGTCACAAGGCCAGTTCTGCCCTGTCCTAAGGGTCACGATGAGTGTATTCCACCTGAGTGATGGCAGTGGGTGAGTTCTATCCAATTTGGAGACTGTAGGTCTCCACTGCTAACCAAAACGTCAGAGATGTAAGTCCACCACAGAGGCCGCAGGAGAAAAACCTGGTGATCGACATTCGTCCC